ATTGAGTTGGCAGGCTCTTAATGTGAAACATTCACCTGCCCATATTCTGATCTATTATACCAGAATAAATACTGTGAGTAAGGGCTGCAGGATTGGGCCCTAGCTCCACTGAAGTCAGTGGGAGTTTTGTCATTGATATTCATGGGACCAGGATTTGGCCTTTACTCCAGACTTAGACTGGTGTCACTAAGAATAGATTGAAGCTGGCCCACTAACTCCACTATAATGTCAGCAGGTAAGCTGGATTCAAACTGAAATATCAATGATACACTTTGAAGGAAATGTTTGATTCTAACAATATGTAGGTTCTGTGTGTCCTCTGCGAAGTTTCTACTCATTTATATGGAGAATGGTTTATTTTTTGTTAAAATTTTAGTTTATTGAATTACCAGTTGTTGTTTTTTAAAAAGCTGTTGGAATTTGGAATTTCTGATGTTACATTTCCAATTGAAACACTTGAGACAAATGCCTAATGTGAATGGTCCAATCGAATTGAACTGGGAGACAGTTAATCTAGTAGATAGGACACTGGAAGGGAGTCATGAGACCTAGGCATATGCTTTCATATTCATTTTAATTTAGGAAATTATCCAAAGGTTCAAAAGGAATGTTTCTAACACTGTGGAACAAATTCTGCTCTCAGTTCTGCCAGCTTCTAGTTGGTTTTGTTGGATGAAAGTGAGAGCAGAATTTATCCCATTAGATAGTTGTAAGGAAGCAGTGGTGCCCAAGATCAACATGCAATTAGAATGAGTTTTCCCCAATCCTGGAGAAAAATGTTCAATGTCTATAGGATGAAATGCCTATAGGCTTTTTATTAATGGTTTATTAATTTTTGTAACACTGGATAATTTGAACTTCCATAAAGATTAAATTTAATGTCAATTATGTCTCTGTCATTTTTTTTAATTGATAAAGATATGGGCAAGAATACCAGGAGCACCCTATTTTTTTTTAAATACATTATACTGCCACCAAACTCAATCTGGTAGAACTGAAGAAAAATGTAATCCTCAAAATCTTTATTAAAAAATGAAATTTCCATTTGTAACAAATCTGCATTATTTTTAGCAATGGATAAAGATTAAACGTTTTAATTTGAGCACTGGGGATCTTTATCAACATTTGCCTATAAAGGTGCAGTAGATTTCCATGGGATGACCAATTTCCCAAGTCATAGATTTACAGATTTTTAGGCCAGAAGGGACCATTTTGATCAGTTAGTCTGACCTTTTGCATGAAGCCCATAACTTCTGTTCCAGCTGTTTTAGAAAGATATCCAGTCTTGACTTAAAGACTGCAAGTGGTGGAAAATCAACCTCATCCCTAGGTATGTTGTACCAATGGTTAATTATCCTCACTGTTAAAAATTTGTACTTTATTTCTCATCTGGATATGTCTAGCTTCTGCTTCTAACCTTTGGATATCACTAGAGATCTCTATTTGTTGTACGGCTGTAATGATACAGTGCATGTGGGATACAAATGATGCGAACAATTAAAGACAATACAAGACTACAATATATGGATTTTTGGGGAGACTGGCTTAAGCAGCTGGAAGAGAAAGGTCCTAGCATTTTCCAATTGTTAGAACTTTTATTACTTGATGAAAACAAGGCTAAACAGGGTCAGAGTAGGCCAGATACATGCAAAAGGACATCAGTTATGGAAACTGAATGTTCCATGTAAGCCTTTCCAGTTCTTCCACCACTGCTCCTATCAATCATGTTGCCAGATGTGGCCTGGACCTTGTCACATTTGAGCAATATTGGTTGGGTATTGTGGGAGTCTTATCTAAATTTGCCTCTCACAGTTGACTTTCATCTCCCAATAGATAGTCTCCCAGAACACATGACCTGCAGTTTCACAATTTATTCTAATTTCTGATCCATAGTTGGATTGGCATATGGGTGATACTCTGGCAGGACCCTAGTCAAGTTTAACAAGTAATTTCTGAATGATACCATCCAGGGTAAGGTCAAGGGGGGGAGGCAAAATGAATCAACAATTCATAATCTGGAACTTTGAAAAACATTGAGTGTTCCCTCTCTTCTTGTACTTTCCCTCTAGGTTTGTGGATCCTTATTGTAAACTTTGTTGTTCTATATAAAGTGAAGCACTGTAGCATTAATCTTTTAAAAGGCAAATCTGCCTGAAATACTTTTGGAGAGCTTATAATGATGGGAAACATGACAGAAGATGGAATATTGCCTGAAACCACACGTTAATAAATATATTTTTAGACAAGTGGAGAAATCATTAATATCTTCTGTACTACAGTCAATAAATAAAATGAAAGGAAGAATTCCTTTCCACAAGGGTTTTGTACATTAACAAAATATTACCTGCAGGCTTTTCTGAATGACTTTATAATAATAAACTTCACGAACAAATCTGAAAAATATTATAAAAAATGTGGTGTGTCATAAAAGAAGTTGGAAGTGTTGACTTTTACCATATGAGGTTACTATTATCTTATCTCTGCTGTACATTGGAAGGCACCTGTGATCCTATCTGGTTTGCATTAACAATTTCTGTTTTTTCCCCTTAGCTTCCAATAGTCTGTCAGTTACAGCACTATTCAACTGCTCTGAAATCCAATTCTTGTAACTATCACCCTTAGCAATATTAGCCACCAATTGTGATGTTATGTAATCCAGCATTTCTTTCCTAAGGGACAAACTGCCATCCATTCATACCATCAGTGCTCCTCTAGCCAGATTTTCTCAGTTGATCCAACAAATTCTCCTATCAGGTGACTTTCCTAGCATGGACCTTCAACTGCAGACTGTCAGTAAAGAGACTGTTATGTCTAAATACTTTGTTTATTAATATATTTAATCTAGGCATATTTCTTCAGTTCCAAGACTACAGTTATCTCTATGGAACCCACAGCAAACACCCTAATTTTTCTTTGAACAAACCCAAACAAACGAACTGCCTAATTGTTGTACACATCAACAGAATATAGTCCCAGTTTTGTGTGGAATGATTAGTATTGGTATAAGTACATAATTTATTTCATGTGTCATGATGTGCACTTACCTAAACTGACTAACCATGTGATCTTATTGCAATAACCCTTCATCCTTCCTCACCCCATTCCTTCTTCATTATTTGTTACTACCACTTGATGTAACATGTCTAAAATTGAACTGTAAGGCCTTCATAGTAGGGACCCTATTTTTTTATGTCTACTGTAAAATATCTAAGTGCAATTTTTTGGTGCTATAAAAATAAAATAATAATGGCAGTTTCATTTATAATTAGCAATAAAAATGTATTGACTTATCCAACAGCAATTCAATTATTATAATAATTATTAATAATAATGTATAGAATTCCTTTCATCGTGAAGGGCACAAATAATCTACAGACCATTCACATACACCACCAATACAAGGCAGCTGTATCTGGGGTGGAACACAGCCGCTAACCAGCGCACAATGTCTCATTAAGTTACCGGTGGAGAAGAGAGGAAAAGAAAGGGGGTGAGAGTGGATGACTACTCTGAATTCACGACTTTTCACCTAATTAAGACTTTAGCTGTCTTCCCTAACACAAAAACGTTAGGTCCAGGAGCCTGCATTCACTGAAATTAATGCCAACACTTCCGTGTACGTCAGTAGAAGCTGGAAGTGCTGAGCACTTTTGGAAATCAGTGAACGTCTAATTAGGTTCATTAATATGGATTCAGGAGGATTAGGACCCAGGTTTCAATTGGTTGCCACAAGTGTACAGGCCCTACAAGCATCCAGAGTCCCGATATCCAGCACGATGGCAAACACTGTGACCAGACTGGTGTCTCAGTCCAAGAAGTGGTACCGTGTCATAGCCGACCTCCATGACCTACCTTCACCATGGACTTCCTTTATCCTTTCCCTGTGAAGTCATATACTCCTACTCCCTTATCTCATACACACAACAATTTGGAGGAGGGGAGAGGGGGACATCTCACCCAGTTTCTTCCTCTTCAGCTGAAGTCTGTCCCACACACTGTATCAACAGAACTCATTCATTCTCAATCCTGGTGCTCCCCAAACTTCAATCTGGTTGCACTACTGTTCTACCTCCTTACTTTGCTCCACCTGCCTTGGCCTCCTCTCAGGTCTATCCACATCACTTTCCCCATTCGTTGCATTTGTTAGTGTTCTTATTTAGAACAATTTTGAACAGTATATTAGCACATATTCATTTGTATTATAGCAGCACCCATGGGCCTCAATCAGGATCAAGGCCCCTTTATACTAGAGGCTGAAAAGATAAAGAATCAGTCCATTCCAGCTGGATACACAGTATCTGTTTCATCTTGAGAATCCAGTCAATGAATGGATGTCCCTAGACACTGTGAAGTCTGCTCCCACATGTTCTGAAAGCAGCGAATGCACTGAATGAACAATGCATAATTTTACACAGAAACCACCAGGAGTGTGTTCCTTTTGGCTACATTTGCTTTTTGAGGATATGACGGGGGGAAACTGTTTGGAATTCAGACACAAGGACCAATCAAACTGCTCCAAACTAAGGTGAATTCAGCTGGCACATGCTGCAGCTGCATCAAGAAAAACTCAGGTAGCACAGCAGAGAGAAAATGAGGAGTCCTCAGGAACGATGATTCTAATGGTGGTATGGAAGATAAGGAAAGCCCAATCACTGTGTAGTAGGAAATTTAAGGATCGAGAGGCTGCTTTCTTCTATGAAGGAGAATCTATGAAGAGATCTATCTGCTCTTCTGCTAACTACTTTGGATTATTATTCTATTGATATAAAAGTCCTTAAAACTAAGTGAAGTGGGACCTTGGATCATTATATCTATGATAGACTGGAACAATGTACCAGTTAGAGAGGAATAATATAAATGCTATAATCAAATGAGAAATAAAAACAAATAAATCAGGCTTTTCTTCCCCTGTGATGCCATTCAAACTCTCTCTCACCCCTCCCTCTCACTCCCTGAAGAACAGAATCTACCGTACAGTGCCTTTTGAGTTCTCCCTGCCTGCTTTCTTCACTGCCCACCTACTGTAAGGAGTAGCTCCTCCCACCTGCACATAAAAGCCAAGTGCATGCTACCAGCAGCTGATCAGAGCACTTTCACAGTCCTCCACTGTTGCGAGCCAGTCATCTCCTCTCCTTGGAACTTGTGCACTCAAGGTAAGCCTATTGCTACTTCAGGCTTCTATTCTACCAGGCTAGTTTTGAGGAAGTCTTAATGTCAGCTGAACCACTGTCTTGCTGCGTGGTGTTGGTGGAGCTTTTTTCAGATGTCAAGTCATCTGACATTTAGGTTAGTAACTTACTGTTGTTTTAGCAATGAAATGAAAACATTTCTTGCTGAGAAAGACTAACATATGTGACTGGGAAAAGCTTTTCTTTTCTGTTCTGATTGATTTTGAAAAGTTCAGTACTATATCCAGGCAAATTTTAACCATTTTTACTCTGTTAATATTTTCCATCTCAGTGAGGGTAGCCCAGTCAAAATTGTCAATAAAAGTGCACTTTAAAGCCACCTAACATTTCCCCTTAAAATATACAGTACACTCAAAAGGCCTGCTGGTCATTTGGGGATGTTTTTGAAATATACAAGACAGCTTCAGCAAATCTTCTGATCCAGGTTTTACTGCTTTGGAAAAAAACATATTTGAACTACTGCCTTCACAGAGGAACAATAATCATGTGGATGTTAGAAAGGGGGGAGGGAAAATTCAACATCTGGGACTAAACATGATTTAAGAACATAGTTCAAGAGCAAAATTCCACCTCTTGCCACAACAGGATATCATGTATAAAAGCACTGTGCTGATGAATTTCGTTATATCTATAGCTGTTTGAACTATGTTTATAGATGATATATAAAGTTGTCTTCATATATCTTTAATATATATATTTCAAATGTTATAAGAAGAGAATACTAAATAGATCAAATATTTTAGCCTATATGAGATAGTTAAGAAGCTAAACATATTAAAGCAGATAATGTCTTTTAAAAATGTTTTTACTTTCCTCTCTGTTCATCTGTCCATCCTCCCAGAGATGAATCTAAATGATTTGTACCAGTTTCTCAAGTTGTGAGTCAGGGTATTTTTAACAGATGGTCACCTGTTTAAACAAATTCATCATACAAATCCTAATCTTAGAATGCTCCATAGTATTCAGCAATGAGAGAGATCAGGAATTAATATTATATGAACAGTAGATGTTGATTATACCTACTATGCACATACTCTGTATGTAGTACATTTCTGCAGTTAAAAGCTGGTATTTTCTACATTGTAGCCAAAGAGCGCCTTTTCAAGTAATGCTTTGCTTTCTTTCCTGAGACTTTTTTTTTTTAAACAAAATGTCTTTTTATAAATAACCACCTCTGCACAATAGCTACAAATACAGTAGCTACGATAGAGTTGTATAACCTCAGCATAACTGTTCATGCTACTGTTGTCTGTGTAGTGTATCTAGGAGATCTGTCCTACATCTTATGCATTATCTATTTTCTCTTTCAAATGAGTATAAAAAAAATCAACATCTTCAACTGTTTCCTTGAAAGGTTACATAAGAGTTTAAAAAAAATAAAAAAATCCTGAGGTTGCTACTAAGAACAAAATACAGTACATTCCACAGCATGCATAAGTTGGAGTAAAAACTGTTCTTTTTGAAAAACAATTAATCCACATAAACTTCCTCCATGAGACTCACAAAAAAAGCCTAATAGGTTTTTTCCTAACTGATATTTCAACACTATCTTGCAAATTCTTATTTCCTACTTAACATCTGATAGTTTTGTACAGAAGAACATAGAAAATATAATTTTAGGAATGTATTATTTGTAGAATTTAGCTTAAAATAAAATCCTACCATGAAGTCTCAGTTCTCATGCACTGTGTTGCCTTACCTGGTAGAGCAGTTTCCAGGAAGAAACACATCACAAAATACATTTGGCACAGAACATTTGCATGCTCTGAAGTACCTTTTAGTAGAGATTGCTGTGAAATGTGTTATTTTTGCATATGAAAATAGATCCTGGAACGTATCATAAAAACTTTGTGTCTAATTAAACTAAACTAGAATCTCCTGAGGTCAATTTATCCTTTAAAATGGGCAGTTAATTCAGCCAAGCATCGTTTTGTAGTATTGAACTAAGGAAAGTTGAATGCAGCAGGGATCCAAGAGAAGTTACCCTTCTAGACATGTGCTTTCAAGGTTTATAACACAGCCCTCATTTTTCTCGGTGCTGAAATGAAAACTGATTTTTATAAAGACCAATTTCTGCTCTGAGAGCAAATAATACTGTTCAGTTTGAACAGCAAAAGCACACCCATAGATGCACCCAATCAATGCTTAATTTGTAATGAAAGAGGTGGCTCAAGTTTTTTATATTCATAACCCATGCAGCAAGCCCCAAGGTGCTGGGGCTGTGAACTGCCAAGCCTAGAAGTGCTGGGGCAAGCCCTAGCACAAATTAAACACTGCACCCAGTCTTTTAAAAACAGTAGTGCAGATACATTAAAAAAAAAATTGGAAGTGGCGGTGGAAGCAGGTGCTCAGATACGAGTGCAATGAGCATGGCATAACCCCCCCCCCCGAGTTGATAGAATGTATTAATCTTAAAGCCACACTAACAGGGGCATAATGAAGATAAAAAAAGGTTGGGGTGGACATGTCCAGTCATTCCTTGTAGTGGCTGCACCTATGTTTTATACTATTAATTAAGGGACTGATCTGAAGTCCATTGAAATCAATGGAGAAACTCTCACTGATGTCAAGGGGCTTTGTACCAGACCCCTAGTTACACAGGCTAAACCATATACTTACTTTGTAGATACTAATCACCATGGTATCAGAGAGTCTCAAACATTCATGAATTTATCCTCACAACACCTGTGTAACATAGGGAAGTATTGTTCCCCTTCATTTTTACAAGTGGGGAGTGGAGGCACAGAGAGACTAAGTGTCTTGCTCATGATCATATTTGTGGCAGAAGAGGGACTTGAACCCAGTTCTGGGCCCCAGTCTAGTGCTTTAACCAGAAAATAATCTTTTCTTATCCACTGTGCATCCCCCCCCCTTTGCTTCCTTGGGCCTGAGCTACCTCAGGCAGAATGAGCAAAAACAGGTTCCTCTATCTACAATCAATAGCCAAGAAATTGTGTGTGATACACACATACTACAGTTGGTACTTGACAACTAAGTAATGATAAAGCTTAAAAATTAAGTTTGTATAGAAAGTGGGAGATTTTTATGCAGAATTATTTATATGCTATTACATGCATCATGTTTTTTTATGAGTTTGCACGATAGTGTGGTAATTAGATTCATATTTTTTGGCAGAGATTGGCACTGGTGTGAGAAATATCAGAGCAAATTTCCATCCTCTGCCCTTGTAGTCTTTGGTGGTGCTTCTTGCTATTGTGCAATGCAATTCTAAAGCACTCATTCTTTTTACACTCTCTCCCTGGTGGCATCTCTGTAACTCTCATGACAATACCACAAAAAAAAAATCTTTCCCCTTTGCCCTCTCCCTGAAGTCTGGGTCCCCAAAGCTCGTTTATGAGAGCACAGAATTTTAACACTGAATTTCTACAACTGCACTGTCCTAAAAGAAAGGGGGAGGGGAGAGTCAATGGCTCATGAATTTTGAGCCTCCTCCTCATGTGCAGTGTGTAAACTTGAAATACTCTTTCCCTAACCATCAGCTCCCTGAAAAACAGCATGTGAGAAAGAACTATGGCTCCCATTTCTGTGTCCAAAATGGTGGATAAATATGAGGAGACAAATGAAAGCGTCAGACTCTGGTTGGCTGTTGGTATATGGAACAGTCCATAGTTCTGTGGAGAAATACTTATTTGGGAGGGAACAGAAGTGAGCTAGTGCTGCCTGTCCCCATTTGTTGGATGTCTATCATATGCTGATGTTTCGTCTAAGAAATAATTGTCATAGCAGCCTTTGGGGGCACTGTCTCCTCTTTTTTTAAAATAAAAGTTTTCACTGTGGACATGGAACACTGGGACAGAACTCTGAGCATGTGAGACAGACAATTAAAAGATCAGTAACACTAATAAGAAATGCTAGCTATTAGAATAGGAAGAACCAAGACCAAGCATCTGGTGCAAATGACCTGGTGAAGGATGGTAGCAGTTTGTAATGCACCTTGAAGTACTGCAATATAAGCTCAGGGATAGGTATAAATGTAGAGTCTGCAGGGGAAACAAAGAGCTGCAAATCAGTTTGAAACAGAAGGGTTTATAGAGATTCTAATGAAATTGACTGAGAGAACTAGCCTGTATTCCTCAGATTTGTACCCTGAGAATCAAGTGTGTGTTGTTGGTTTTTTTTGTCTATATTATTATGGCATTAATAGGTCTGGGTTAAGGCAGAGTTTTGTTAGTTCAATTGATCAACTTAGAAAAACACCCTTGAGTGCTAGGGGGAAATGTTGATTAATTTATCCATCCATATTCTACAGCTCCAAAGGGAGAGGAGGGTGTTCTATCCAGTTTGGGGGAATGACCAGGCTACTTTGCCGCTGTCTAGCTGCAGACACTGCAGAGAGTGCAAGCTATTCACTTCTGCAGCAGGAATAAGTAGCACTCAGGCACCCCATCCACTCTGCAGTGTGCAGACAGAGCAGCTCAGGAATTTTTCACCCCTCTACCACCACTTCATTTTACACATCTCAGACAGCAAAGGGCTGAATTTTACCCTGAACTTTAACATCCACATGTTCTGCCATTACTACTCAGTTTCTTGACATAAAAGCTACTCTGTGTTCCTGGGTTCTTTGCCCTTCTAGGAGATAATTTTCTATTCTCACAAATGTTGCACTTCTAAGAATAACATTTGGTCATCGGATTATAAGGAGGGGTTATGCCAGGCAAAAAGAAAAGACAGTGGAACATTGGCTGCTTGTTCCATTTTTAATGAAAATTAAGGAGATTTAAAATAATAAATAATTATATTGGATGCTTCCTAATTTTCCTGCTGTGATATACTGGGATTATGTGAGTGAATGATGTTGCCCTCTTGTGGCATGTCCTCAAAGAGGATAAGGGATCTACTACTGGTAGCAGCCAAGGGAATTCTCCTTTTGCTTAAGTCAGTGGTTCTCCACCACGGGTACATATACCCTGGGGATACTAAGAGGTCTTCCAGGGCTACAC